GGAAGTCGACCCTCGCGTGGAGTATTCCAGCATCAAGGAAGGCTCAGTTTTCCTCTGCATGATTACCGGTCAGAACGCCAGCGGTAATGTTGTCAAGCTCTCCTCCAAAATGCAGTCCTCCGCCTCGATCAAGAACTCGCACTTCCTCAGCGCCGCGCCAACCATCAACTCCTTCCTTCCTGGTGTTGCCGCTGAGATTCTCCTGACCGAAGTCACCCCAAATGGCATGGCCGGAAAGATTATGGGAATGCTCGACACAGTTGTTGATGTGGTTCAGTCTGGTGCAGATGACGGCAAGCTGGACCTGGAGCGCAAGTGGAAGATGGGAGCCAAGATCAAGGGTCGTATTGTCTCCACCTTCCCTAACTCTGAGCCTTTCAAGATCGGCTTCTCGATGCTGGACCACGTTCTCAAACTTGCCTCTGATAGCCGTGGCCCCGGCTCATCCGATGAGGCACCTGCTGTCTCCGCGATCGTCCCCGAGGTCACAGTTGTCAAGATGGATTCCAGTGGCATGGGTCTGTATGTCCAGATTGGCGAGACCAAGCACATTGGATTCGTTCACATTTCTAGACTTTCAGATGGCAAGGTTGAGTCCATCTCACCCGAGTCGGGTGCTTATAAGATCGGATCTACTCACGAAGCCCGTGTGGTTGGGTACAATATGATCGACAACCTTTACCTTCTCTCCTTCGAGCAGTCCGTCATTGAGCAGCCATTCTTGCGCCTTGAGGACGTCAATGTTGGAGCAATTGTTAAAGGAAAAGTGGAGAAGCTGTTGATCGGTGCCACTGGAATGGACGGCCTTATTGTCAGCCTTGCAGATGGTATCACTGGACTAGTTCCTTCAATGCACTTTGCAGACACTCAACTCCAGTTCCCCGAGAAGAAGTTCCGTGTGGGTCAGAAGATCTCCGCCAGGATTCTTTCCGTGAATCTCGATAAGCGTCAGATCCGTTTGACTTTGAAGAAGAGTTTGTTGAACAGTGAATCTGCTATTTGGAATGATTACAAAGATATCGTGGCTGGCGCCCAGTCTCCCGGTACCATCGTCAACCTGCAGCCTCACGGCGCTGTTGTTCAGTTCTACGGCAACATCCGCGGCTTCCTTCCCGTTTCTGAGATGAGCTCGGCTTATATCAAGGACCCTGCTGAGCACTTCCGCCTGGGCCAGGTTGTTAACGTGCACGCTCTGAGCGTGGACGCCCCTCAGGGCCGACTCGCCGTCTCTTGCAAGGACCCGTCAACCTTCACCGAGAAGTATGGTCAGGCTTTCGAGGATATTCAGCCCGGGTTACTTGTCTCTGCATCTGTCTTTGAGAAGTCTGGTGATGACCTGCTCCTGAAGCTCGAGGAGACCGATTTGGTCGCCCGTCTCGATATTTCGCAAATCATCGATGGTTCCCCATCAAAGCAGAGCTCGACCCTGTCTAAGATCCGGGTTGGTCAGAAGCTCAATGAGCTTTTGGTACTGGACACGCAGCGCGCTCATCGCCTTATCCGCGTTTCCAGCCGAGCCAGTCTGAAGAAGGCCGCTAAGCAAGGACACATGCCCAGCAAGTTCGAGGATGTCCAGCAGGGTGCTAAGGTGACTGGATTCGTTCGCAACATTACGCCGGCGGGAATTTTCGTCGAGTTTTTGGGTGGCTTGACTGGTCTCCTTCCTAAGCGTCTTATCGATGCTGCCAACCTTGACCAGCCCCAGTTCGGAGTCTCGAAGGGATCGAACATCACCGTCCATGTTCACGAGGTTGACACTGACTTCAAGCGTTTCATTCTGAGCCAGAAGGCTACCGAGACTACTAGTGCTGCTTCTAAGAAGACCAAAGAGCCTGTGCAGACCAACGATGCCCTTGCCAACTCCGTGGATGAAGACCTCAAGACCATGTCCGACCTCACCTTTGGTCGGGTCGTTAAGTGCAAGGTCGTTTCCATCAAGGCTACTCAGGTCAATGTGCAGCTGGCAGACAACATCCAGGGTCGTATCGACGTGTCCGAGATCTTCGACAAGTGGGAAGACCTCAAGGACCGCAAGCAGCCCCTCCGATTCTTCAAAGCCAAGCAGGTTCTTTCCGCCAGAATCCTTGGTGTCCATGACGCCCGCAACCACAAGTTCCTCCCCATTTCCCACCGCAGCGGCAAGTACCCCGTCTTCGAGCTTTCCCTTAAGCCCAGCTTTATCAAGGCTGCCCATCCCGAGCCTCTCAACATGGATCAGGTCAAGGTTGGCACTTCCTGGATGGGCTTTGTCAACAACGTTGCCGACGACTGCCTTTGGATCAACTTGTCTCCCAACGTTCGCGGCAGACTTCGCTTCATGGACGCCTCCGATGATCTGTCTCTCCTGACCGACGTTGAGAAGAACTTCCCTATTGGTTCCGCCCTCAAGGTCCAGGTCACTGCTGTCAATGCTGAGAAGGGTCATTTGGATCTCTCCGCTAAGCAGGACTTCGACAAGCTCGCTTTCGGAGACGTCTCAGTCGGCATGATCCTACCTGGTCGCGTGACCAAGATCACTGAGAAGCAGATCATCATGCAGCTTGGTGAGGCCCTCGTCGGTGCTGTCAATTTGATCGACATGGCCGATGACTACTCCAAAGCCAACCCAACTGTTTACCACAAGAACGAGGTCCTGCGTGCGTACGTTATTGCTGTCGATCCTGCCAGCAAGAGGATCTCGTTGTCGCTTCGTCCCTCCAAGGTTTTGAGTTCATCCCTCCCCGTCCAAGATCGTGAAATTACCTCCATCAAGGAAATTAAGCCCAATGATGTGATCCGCGGATTCATCAAGCGCATCACCGATGCCGGTCTCTTCGTGGCCGTTGGTCACGATGTTACTGCCTATGTTCGTGTCTCTGACCTGTCCGATTCTTATCTCAAGGAGTGGAAGGACTCGTTCCACCCCGATCAACTGGTCAAGGGTCGCGTTACCCTGGTTGATGCGGAGCAGAACAAGCTGCAGATGAGCTTGAAGGACTCCGTTCTCGACCCCAACTTCAAGGCCCCGATTACCCTTCGGGATCTCACGGTCGGTCAAATTGTGACTGGTAAAGTCCGCAAGGTTGAAGAGTTTGGTGCCTTCATTGTCATCGATCGCTCTGCCAATGTTAGCGGTCTCTGCCATCGCAGTGAGATGGCGGAGAAGCGCATTGAGGACGCACGGACCTTGTACGACGAGGGCGACGCTGTCAAGGCCAAGATTGTCAAGATTGACTCTAAGGCCGGCAAGATCTCGTTCTCATTGAAGGCCTCGCACTTCCAGGATGAGGCGGACGAGAGTGAGGACGATGACATGGAAGATGGTGCTGGTGGTGTCGAGCTCGGTGAAGACGAGAGTGCTGATGAGGACGACGATGACGTCTCCATAGGCGGCGTTGAGGTCGAGGCTGACAGCGAAGAGGAGGAAGAGGACAGTGAGGATGACGAGTCCACGAAGGGTGCTTCCAAGGACGGCGGTCTCGGCGCGAGCGGCTTCGACTGGAGCGGTAACGTCCAAGATGAGGAGGCCAATGCTGCCAACTCGGACAGCGACGAGGATGAAGATCAGAAGAAGAAAAAGAAGAAGAAGAGCAAGCCCGAGATCCAGGTTGACCGCACCGGCGATCTGGATGCCCACGGCCCTCAGACTGTTGCTGACTATGAGCGTCTGCTGCTGGGTGAGCCTGACTCTTCCCTATTGTGGCTCCAGTACATGGCCTTCCAGCTCGAGTTGGGTGAGGTGGAGAAGGCCCGCACTATCGCCGAGCGTGCTCTCCGCACTATCACCATGGGCCAGGACTCCGAGAAGCTGAACATTTGGATCGCTCTTTTGAACTTGGAGAACACCTACGGCAACGATGATAGCCTCGAGGAAGTGTTCAAACGAGCTTGTCAGTACAATGAGCCTCAGGAGATGTACGAGAGGATGATCAGCATCTACATCCAGTCTGGCAAGAACGAGGTATGTCATAGACCGGTTGTATCCTTAAGATTATATTTGCCACAGAAACTAACCCCATCTCTAGAAAGCGGATGATCTCTTCCGGACCGCCATGAAGAAGAAGATCTCCACTCAGTCACCCAAGTTCTTCCTGAACTACGCCAGCTTCCTCTTCGACACGATGGCTGCTCCCGATCGTGCTCGGGGTCTGCTGCCCCGTGCGCTGCAGTCGGTCCCGGCACACACCCACGTCGAGACGACCTCCAAATTCGGGCAGCTCGAGTTCCGATCTACCAATGGTGACATTGAGCGTGGTCGCACCGTGTTTGAGGGCTTGCTGTCCTCGTTCCCCAAGCGAATTGACTTGTGGAACGTGCTGATCGATCTGGAGATGAAGGCCGGTGATGCCGAGCAGGTTCGCCGCTTGTTTGAGCGGGTGCTTGGACTGCAGCACAAGAAGGGATCCATCACTGTGGACCCTAGCAAGAGGGTCAAGCCCAAGCAGGCCCGCTTCCTGTTCAAGAAGTGGCTGGCCTTTGAGGAGAAGCTAGCGGCGGCCGAGGGTGGAGATGAGAAGATGGTGGAGGAGACCAAGGCACGGGCGGCGGCCTATGTCAAGTCTCTGCAGGACGAGGGGGACGAGTAGAGCAGCAGCCATAGTTTGCTCTACTTCATGGATTGGACACGCTGAGAATTTGGCTTTGGTTTTTGTCGTAAAAAAGTATCGGGGTTGTGTTTGTCACATTTTCTTCGTGAAACCCGTGGGTGTTTGGGACCATTGCATTTGGTGTATATAAATGAATTCCTTTTTTCTTCCCCCGTTTATCCTTGAGCCGGTGATGTAGCGCATGAAGGCCAGCCCTAGAGTAGCGCCCGTATTTCCCTTCTGCATCGGAATTCAAAGATCAGCTCTTTCAACACATGATGCCGAAGCCCTCAGAGCTCTAGGTTGCGAAACACGATGAGGTATCTCCAACGCATACATCTGTCACTGTACACAATAGGTCTGGAATTTTCCTCTTTCTCTTGGTTTTTCCTCTCCGGCTCTCTTACTCAAAAACGCCCGTGATGGAAGGTTACAGTCACGTGCTGCTATAACATACCCTTCTCTTTCAATTTTGACTTCGTTGGCCGGAACCCCCTCAACGACCACACTCGATGAGCTGTGTCTTTTCAAAGTTCGACTCTACCTTCTACATGATTGATTTTATCGCATTCTCACAACCAATCTAAGGCCGCTGGAACCTATTGAACTCTTGACATGTCAAGTGGACCGACCCTTATCTTCATACCAGGCTCCTGGCATAGACCGATATGCTATGACCCGGTTATCAAGCTCCTAGAGCCTCAGTACAATTGTGTCGCAGTGCCTCTTCCATCAACAGCACATAATCCCGAAGCGAGTTTCAAAGATGATCTAGATGTAACCCGGGATGCGATTTCAGTCGAGACCAGTAACGGGCGCGATGTCGTCGTTATTGCGCACTCATATGGCGGCATGGTGGGCAACAGCGCCATTAAAGGCTTCACAAAGCCACAGGACTCTGATAACAGTCAATCAGGATACGTTATCGGCCTCATTCTCATAGCCTCTGGCTTCACCTTGACTGGGCTGTCATTTATGGATCCATTCTTCGGTCGTCCGCCGCCTGCCTGGCGTGTGAATAAAGAAACTGGCTATGCCGAGCTCGTTGCTTCCCCACGGGACCTGTTCTACCATGATCTGCCAGAGGAAGAGGCCCAATACTGGGTCTCTCAGCTCACTAGTCAGAGCCTGAAGGCGTTGTTTGAAGGCGGCGAGTACACTTACGCCGGGTGGAGAGATGTGCCGTCTTGGTACATCGGGACTGTGGAGGATCAGGGATTACCAGTGCTGGCTCAGCGGATGTCAGTTGGTATGGCGAGAGAGATGGGGGCTAGTGTGGAGCATCGAGAGCTGCAAACGAGCCATTCGCCTTTTCTGAGTCAACCTGGGTTAACGGTGGAAATCATTCTGGAGGCCGTTGACGCATTTAGTCACTCAAGGAGCAACAAAACCAAGTCGACCGTTGATGGAGGTGATCGTGCGATAGTCGTGCCGGGTGCTGCTCTCTTCAAGCCTTTGACTTGGTTCAAATTTGGGCTACCGATGGCCTTTGGCCGTCTGTTGGGCCGATGCATTCTTTTATTTAACTGGGGAAGAAGGGTATGGAGAGCCACGTTCCGGTGATCGGCATCCTTGATTAGAGGAGCTTCTAGATTCACTGGAGGATCTCTTGTTTTGTATAGTAGTGACAGAATGCTCAGTATATTTCGCGACTTTGGCTATTTGTGATGTTGTGGATCTGTTCCTGCTGCGCATAATAGGGATAATCATCTGACCCTGCTAAAGACCGATGTTACTTGCTATTTTGTAAGTTGCATGGGTGTTTGCAGGTACCCCGAGCAGGTCAGGTTGGAGTCCATAAGCACATGGTTTGACCAAGTCTTATAGTTGGTTTTCCGTCATTACCTTATAATCCGGGAACAAGTATTCCGACATGAAAGGCAATCACGGCCGGTGCTGTAATCCTAGGTTGTAGATCCTAGGTTGTAGATGCAGCGATCTTCTCGGAATCTGAGCAAGTTGGTGAATCCTTGTACATCTGCGCTGTAGCGAACAGGCCTATCTGAGCTCGGGATGTCCGCATGCGGACCCAGGCCGTGCTCCTCGTGGACCGCTGGAAGAATAGGGCTGGAAGTATACTCCGCAGTGAACCAAGTATCAAGCTACACGGTGCCGCAAAGTCTCTCTCTTTACTTTGGACAAAACTAGCCAACAACTGCTAGAGTGTCCCTGCGTGGCGTCCATCGGCTGATCTCGTTGGCCGACTCGCCTATAGAAAGTGTGGCCGTTCCACCCAATCCATCCAATGGGTGGCGGCAGCAGAACGGCATGGCTGGAACACTTGGACGCAAATAACCTTTGCGTCTTCCCTTTTTCTCCTGCGGCACTTTGCAGCGAGGCCGCTGGCCATTCGTAGTGTTGGGATAGTGAATTTACTACCGTTAGCTTACCGATTAGCACAGGAGGGGGTTCAACCACGGGCGCCGCACTCTCACCAAAAATCCCACCATCCATTTATTGTCGATTGCTCATTCAGGCCCATATATACCTACGATTACCTGCCCACCCCCACCATGAATGTTTACTTCGTCGTGTGTTTCTCCAACCCTTTCCCTTGCCCTCTCCATCCTGCGGATTACAGAGACCCATCGCGCCCGCAATGGGCGTCTCTTACCAGCCGTTGGACGTGACCGGCGCCGGAGGCACTTCCGAATGTCTGCTCGAAGTGCCTTTCGAGACCTACACCGACTCGCCGCCATCTACTACCGTGTCTAATGCTCATGTCAACGCCGAGAGAGATGCTAAGGGCAGCGCTACCGTGCGAGTTGAAGCGATCCCCCGCGAAAAGGTGGGGCCGAGCATTGCCAAATGGCGTCAGACCCTGGCGGGCTTGATTCGGTCTAGATTTGCGACTCGCCTTGCTGATCGTAACGACGCCTTACCGCTGCTTTCGGAGGACCAGCCACGGCAGAGGAAGAAGCGGTCTTGTCGCTCGAGTGTGGAGTGTTTGTTGGTGCGGGGATTCTTGGGGGGTTTCGTCATGCTGTAAGTCCACAGTCACTGTACGAGGATGGAGCTGAGGGAGGTGAAGGGAGGACGAAAATCTGTTCAGACCGATGGAATCCACGAATCATTTAGAGATGATTGTGGTCAATTTCAATGAAAGCCGACACTAACAGTTCATTTCTAGTGGAATCATCCAGTTTATCTCCATTGCCTGCGGAATCGGACTGATCTTCTTCCCGGACGAATATGACCGCGCGGCACGCTCGTTGATGCAAACCAGCGAACAGACCAACACCGACGATATTGCTCACTGGCCGACCGATTTCACTCGCGATATCATTCCCGTCGGCTGCCACTCCCATAATGATTACTGGCGCCGGGTACCTCTCTTCTCAGCCCTGCAAGCAGGCTGCATCGGAGTCGAAGCCGATGTCTGGCTCTTCGACGAGGAACTGTACGTCGGCCATACACGATCTGCACTGACCAAGCGCCGGACCCTGCAATCCTTGTACGTCGACCCACTCGTACGCATTCTCGATCGTCAGAACCCGGTTACTCCGTTCCAACGCACGATCGATTCACCCCCGCACGGGGTATTCGATACGGACCCCGGTCAGAGTCTGGTCTTGCTCATTGATTTCAAAACGGATGGCGCGGCAACTTGGCCGGCCGTGGTAAAAGGATTGGCACCGTTGAGGGATCGGGGATATCTCACCTTCTTTGATGGGCGCGATATCATCCCCGGACCCGTGACGGTCGTCGGAACGGGGAACACGCCATTTGACCTACTCACCGCAAATACAACCTACCGTGATATCTTTTTCGATGCCCCGCTCGACACGCTAATCGATGATCTAGGCCTCGACCGTGGCCAGGTCGGCACGTATGTCTCGCCCGTGAAACGGTCCACGGGAATGGGCCAGGGTCTCTCCGGTATGCCGGACAGCATCAACGCGCACACGTTCAACATCACCAACAGCTACTACGCCTCCGTAGACTTCAAGAAGGCCGTCGGATTCCCCTGGCCCTTCCATTTCACGGAGACCCAAATGGAAACCATCCGGCGGCAAGTCCGGATTGCGCATAGCCATGGGCTAAAAGTGCGGTACTGGGGATTACCGAGTTGGCCGATCAGTTTACGGAATCATATTTGGCGGATCCTCCTGCAGGAGGGGGTTGATGTGCTGAATGTGGATGACCTGGTTGCTGCGACAAAGGGGGACTGGAAAATCCGAATCTTCGACTGGTGATTCTAGCCATGATGAGATTCTAGCTGCATTATGGGGAAACGAGATCTCGATTTACGTACATGAGGAACAGGGACTGGCGTTTAGGTTGGGGTTCTTTGTTTTGATGAAATTTCTATGATACCTTATTCGCCCTGAATAGATTTTGGTTGTTCTTTTCTCACATCTCTCCTTCATTTCATTGTTTCATTCTTATGGATATATGGTGTACGGCGGACTAAAGGGGGGAGAAGGCCATAACCTGAGTTTCCTTAAGACCATCCACCGCTGTTCTTCCGCCCTAAGTACATTTTCATATTTACTATATCACAAGGAGATCAACGTAGAGAGAAAAACGTCTAGGAGACCGTCTAGGAGACCGTCTAGAAACTACCTAAGAATCTATCTAGGAAACTATCAAAAATTATTAAGAAAACTATATAGAAGATTATACCTATGAATCGCTATCTTCGATAGATTAATTTAAGGACTAGTTCGATAGTATTACCGCTAAGGAGTCGATTATAATATTCATTAAATTGGTAGGATTATGTAAAAGGTTTGGTCCGAAAGAGGATTTAGTATTAGTTTAGAGAGAGATCAGGGGGGAATTGGAGAGGATTTAACATCAAATTACGGATTGTATCTCTTCAGTAATCTCATCAGTCACTTAATCCGAATCAATTTCAATCGCTTCGATATACGTAGAATGTATAGGGGAAAGGATGCCTAAGAGATTCTGCCGATTCTGAACTTACGGATAAAGGTTTATGGTTTTCTCCCTCCTATGGTCCGCGGTAATGGTGGTTACATCTACAGATGGCGTTTCTCGTTCAGACAGGTGCTAAAAATCAAGATTCATTGAAGCAGTCAAGCTTTTATGTGGCTGCGATGCAGCTGTGGATAAAGTAGTCCTAGTTTGTCCGGCCGAGACAAGAAAGTTCTGGTCTGCCCTTGCTATACGGCAATGCTGAATAACCAGAAAATGATGCAGATGCTAAAAAAACCATACAGAACGAATATCACAAAGAGAGACCCTGATAGTGGCCCTGGAGATATAGATGCCACGAGGGCCCATTGGGGGTATCATCAAACGGAGCGTACTGGAAGTCCAGACGTGGATGGAGGTGATGGGGTTGTTGAGACAGATGCAAAGGTGTTGAAGCGGTAAACAAAATCAAAGGCAGAAGAGGGCTTCCTCGCCGAATTCACGGATAACGCTGCCTTCCTCGCGAAGGAGACCTCCGAGCCAGTCCTTGGCTGTCTCGAAGTCCTTGGCGCCGAACTTGACCAGGACGAACCCGGCGCGCACGCGAGCTGCCGTCCAAGTGACATCGCCCTTAGTGCTGAGCGACGGCTCGGGCGCTGTAGATGGCGCCGATGAGGCCCAATTTCGGCTGCCAATCCGAGGCTGGGAGTTGAACTGGTGCATGAGGTATGTGCCGAGGCTGTCGAACACCGGGCCCGATAGAATCAATGTACCGACAACTCCATGCGGGCGCGTGCGTTCCTGAATGATGTTCAAAGGCACCAGGCCGGCCTGCGGCGGTGGCGTGTCAGCACGGCCAGAGTGGCTATTTAGCCCGCTCTCGCCGGCTTCCTCGTCAGAGTCCTCATCTGAAACCTCAAGGTCGTCGGTCTCATCATCCAGGATGACCGAGTCACGCAGCAGGAGCCGGCTCTTGCCCGTCTTCTCGTCGGTAGCCCAGACTTCGTTACGGCCGCGCCAGAAGCGGAAGTTCCAGTTTTCTCCGCGCGACGTCCGACCTTGTGTGACCCAGTCCAGAACACACAGACTGCTGCGCTCGTCACCCTTGGCGGCGGCGTCGACAGTGAATGTTTGTACTTGCGCGTAGCGACTGTTCTTGAATGGGACGGATGGGTCAGGCAAGTAGCACAGCGCTGCTTGGCGACCGATTCGTACGTCCAGAGACTGCTGACTCATATCGGCAAGGTGTTGGTTGGCCGGCATTTGCTTGCGATGACCCTTGATCAATTTGATGCCATTGGCATTGCCGGGCTCGGTCTTAAAGATCTTGGTGCTCCCTTGCGGCGTGGTCACTACCATGCGAGTCCTCGGTTCGAGTTTGATCGATACCTCGATGTGATCGCCCGGTAGCAGACCGCCGCCATAGGTAAGAAGATAGAGGTGGACCGGCCTTGAAGGACATGAGCTGGACAAGGTAGAGGACTCTGCACTGGGGATGAACCCCGGCGCCCTCGGGACGAGCTTCAGTGGGTATTTGTAGGTGAGCGTGGTGAGAGTGGGGTTGTTTGGTGGGAGGAGGGAGAGGACGACGGTGCCTTGGCCCGGCTTCGCGATGGAAGACTCGAAGGGCGAGCGGATGGGCATTGCTGGTTGTCGCATGATGCCGCTAATGTACGTGCGTGTTGTTTTGGTTCTTGGTGGGGGAAATTGGGAAATGAAATGGGGAGTTGAGAGGAAAAGAGGTGGGCCGGATGAAGGCTTATCAAGATAGAGAGGGACGGGAGGGAAAAATGAGCCAAGCAAGCATGAAATGATGCAAATGTCAGGAGGGAGTAGTTGTGACGCTCTGAAGCATGATGCGCATGTGCAGAAACTGAGTTTTTTTCGTTCTTACCCCAGACTCTTGGGATCTCGGGGCTTTAAGTGGAATATAATTTTAGCCCTGGCACGTCGGGGCGATGATGGCATTCATTAGTCAATGGCGCCTCCACTCTAGGGGAGGGTACCGTCGGTTGTCGTGGCCCCGTTGGCTCCAGCAATTCCATGGACACTGCACGATGCGTCAAGCGGGGGTCCTCTCATGACTTGTTGCCTCCGTGAGACCAAGCGAAGTGGACTGAATTGCTGCGCCGAGAGGAGTTTTTATGACACACAAGATCCATGGATCTTCGCACTAGCAAATGCCCAGTCAGTCTCGGCCATGTTGGCGGCTTTGGACTTGCCCTATGGGGACCCCCGCAAGCCACTCGTGATGTACGCGTGACCCGCTAGAGTTATGTCAGCGTCCAGGGGGGGGCATTCGGTTAGGTAACCTTGATTGCCTGAAAATCTAGGATCCCATCACGCTCGGCTGATTCCTCAGGCCAAAGAATTTACGTTGTAAGGCTCCCAGGCTCCCAGGCTCCCAGGCCATCACGCAGGCCACGAGGGTTGCGAGGCGCTCAGGCACCCAGTCGCGTCGCACCTCCTTTACGTTTCCTTGAGACCCCCGCTCTTTTCATCTATCGGGTTTCTTTCTTTTCCCCGGACGATCGATTCGCGCACCCACTCTGGCATGCAGTAAATCTAGCTGCCTCGACTCTCGAACTCCCACGATATCAGCCCGAGTCCCCCTTTCACCGGTGTGCTCATTCGCACGATCCCGTTCGCTGCCGTTCCACGGCGCGTTCCACCAGAAGCGCGTTTGGTCCTAACGTACGAGTATCCCCAACTTTCCATTGTTCCCTCAGCTCTCAATTATGACTGACACGGTGCTTCTTGAATACTTGCAGTCGCTTAGATCTCAATCCCACACACGAATACACACAATCTCCTCATCATGGACGTGGACAACCCAAGTAGCCCGGCGTCCACGCCCGCTGAAGACCGCCGCAAATCCAGTCGCATGACGCGACGACCCGAAGTCTTCTCGCAGAGCAACCACTCCATCCTCGATGCTAATGCTAGCGGCAAGCGCAAGCGTGGCGACGCGCTCGACCAGTCCGACAGTGATGACATATCGGAGTCCGAAAGTGATGATGCGGGCGACGAAGACGCTTATGAGGAGGAGCTGAGAGAAAAGCGACGTGCCGCACGCAAACAGGGCACCAAGAAGGCCCCCGCGAAGAGAGGTACACATGCTGCGAAAAAGCCCAAGGTCGCGAGCAATGGTGTGGGCCGACAGCTGGCTTTTCGACCTGCAGCAAACGGTCGACTGCCATCATCGCGTCCCCGCAAGATCAAAGTTCGACCCAGCCTGGCATCTGGTGAACGGGGGTTATATGGTGAGTACTCCTGACCAATGGGCGAAGAAGTTCCGTTTAACCGTTATGTATAGCCGATGTTTTCGGAAAGAGCAACAATGCAGAGACGGCGGCTGCCCAGTGGCTGAGTCAATATCAAAATAACCCCGCCGTGGCCATGCGCGACTTGGTCAATTTTATCCTCCGATGCACCGGAGATGACTTGGAAATTACTGAGGAGCAGGTGGTGGAGGTGGACCATGCGCCTGAACACATTACAGAGCTGCAGGAAGTCTACATTGCGCACAAGATCCCTGACTATCCCCTCGTTTCCAAAGAGAAAAAGTACCGCGCATTCCAACCCGTTCTCGAGGAGTTCTTCGCCGCTCTGATCCAAACCTTCCACCACTCTTCGATTCTATACACTGACGTGGCTCTGCTCGAGAATATTCAAATTTGGATCTCATGCATCTCGACAGCAGGCATTCGGCCATTCCGGCATACGGCAACTATCATTTCGCTAGCTATGACGACCGCCTTGTGTGGAATCGCACGCGAAGTAACGACTACTGTAACGACCTCCCGTAAACAGCTCGAGAGCGAAAAGAAAAAGAAAACCGTCAACAAGGGCCGTGTCGAAGCAATTCAAACCGCCATCTCCGAAGGTGAAACAAAGATCGAGCGTCTGGACGAGTTCTTGCAAGATGGATTCGATACTGTCTTCGTTCACCGTTATCGGGACGTCGATGGCGTAATTCGGGGCGAATGCCTGGCGTCTCTTGGCAGATGGATCGCGACATACCGAGAAATGTTTTTTGAGGGCCAGTACTTGCGATATCTAGGATGGACCCTGGCTGACGTGGTCGCGCACACCCGGCTGGTAGTTCTGACGCAATTGCTTCCTCTCTACGAAAATAAGGATAACATTGCTGTTCTTCACTCCTTCACGGATCGCTTCCGCCCACGTATTGTGGAGATTGCTGCACAGGACGCCGACATCAATGTCCGTGTTGCTGCGATTGAGCTGCTGAACCACCTTCGTGAGGGAGGGCTACTTGAACCCGATGATATCGATGCCATCGGTAAATTGGTCTTTGACATCGACCCACGAATCCGGAAGACTGCAGGTCGCTTCTTCGTTGCCAATGTCCAGGATGCTTTTGAAGCGTCGACTGAGGAGATCGCAGATGAGATGAACGATATATTTGCCGATGACGATGACGACGATGAGTTCGAAACGCCCAAGCGCTCATGGATCAAATACAAGAATCTGGTGGATATTTTCCAAGCTTATGATGACCATGGTGAGGAGGATGCTCCTGAACAGACCACGGCTCGTGGTGTGCTTTCTGGAACGCCTGCAGATTCACGATTCGTTCTGGCGACCGAGGCTATCTACCCACACATGGAGGAGCTTTCTCAATGGCAGTCTCTGGCTGGTTATCTGCTTTACGACCACTCGCAGATTGAGGATGAGCCTGAGGAAGATGATACCGCTGGGGTTTTGCGAACTTTGTACAAGATGAATGAAGGGCAAGAATCAATTCTTCTTGAGATCTTATGTGCCGCGGTCAAGCTGCGTGTGCTTGATGTTGCAAAGTCTGACATCGACAAGCGTGGACGCAAGGTCAAGGCACTTACTGCTAAGATCCCTGAGCTGCAGGAGGAAATATCTCATGGCCTTGCTCAAATCATTCCTCAGCTTTTGAACAAATTCGGATCCGCGCCCGAGGCCGCATCTGCTGTTCTGCGTCTGGAGCATCTAGTGGACTTGGATACCATTCAAGACCTCCAGAAGGATGCGACCGCCTACACATCGTTGCTGAACGACATCAACAAGCAGTTCCTAACTCATTCAGACCAAGATGTCTTGGCCGAAGCTAGCGTTGCTTTCTTGCATGCCAAGAGCTCCGAGGAAATGCGTGAGGCTCTCGAGGGTAAAGTGCAGGAGTTGTGGGACGATATGATTGACACCCTCGGTGCAATGTCTCGCAAAAAGGAAGTCCAGGCGGCCGCCTACATTTCAGATCCCACTATCACCGAACTCGCTAACACGGTTACGCGAATTTTCAACCTCTCTACAATTACCGACTGCACAACTATCCTGGAGACGGTACCAAAGGCTCACTCAAAATCCAAGAAAGACACACTTGAAGCTCCTTTCAATACACTCATCCATTTGACCAAGCGCGGCATTCGCAAGCCGGACGAGGATGAGGATATTGCCAAAGCCGAGACTGAAGTGGTAGTCAACAGCATCCGGACCTTGCTTTTCTATTTCATGTGGAAGGTGCAGGCGCTCACAGCTACATTGAAGGATGGGAAAGCGTCTTTCACTACGTCATACTTTGAATCTCTCACGAAAAGCCGTGAAACCTTTGCCTCTGCTCTTCTGGCGATTATGCAGAAGCGTGCTGGTCTCGACGATCTTCGTTTCACAGCCGTCACAACGTATCTGGATCTTCACACTCTCTTCGGCACTCTTCGCAACATCGGTCAGGGCGTCGGCAATGATGAGGAGGTTCTCTTCCAAGCTCAGAGCCTTGTGCACGAGGTTCCGTCCGAGGGTGAATCCATTGTCGCCAAGATTCAAAGCAGTGCCGAGCGCGTCTTCGCTAAAAAGTCCAACCGCGACCTTGAACCTGCAGAGGATGATGCGCCGGCCTCTGAGGACGAACCCGAGGATGACGATGAAGCTAGTGACTCTGATGACGAGGCCATTGCCAATGAGCGTCTCCGTAGCAGCATGATTGCGGAGCAGCGTCTCTGCGAGTTGACTGGTAAGCTCGTCTTGGCCATCATCGGCCGCGTGATTGATGCTTCTGGGTCGAAGCGCGGCTCCCTTAAGAAACGACTCTTGCATAACAAGAACGGCCTCGGCCAAAATTACCGCGAAGTCCTGTCGTACCTTGAGGAGCGCAAGCCTCGCAGTGCGCCGCGCAGCAAAGGCAAACAGTCCGCCAAGGCCGATGCCGGTGAAGGTGAGGGATCTACAACAAAGAAGGACTTTAAGTCTGCCGAACGCATCGACGACGACGAGGATGAGGAGGACGGGGACGATGCTGATCCAGTGGAGGAAGATGACGAGGAGGATTTGCGTACTCGCGGTCTCGTCGCTGAAGACATTGACCGTGAGAATGATGAGAACGAAGAGCTTGATGATCTAGCACCCGAATCGGACGAGGATGAGGTGATGGGTGACTAAGTATGCTGTCTGCAGACCTTTTAAGTGATTCATATGATGAGGAGTTTTGCTTTCATAAGCCTTTGATATTATATCAATGTCTCCTTTTTACCTTTTCTTGTCTTTCCTAATATTCCCGATGTTCAAATTACATTCCTCTGTACTACATGCGCACCAAATTCCGATCCTTCTCTCTATGAATGATGGCCATCTTTGGCATACAATTTATATATGTATTAGGACTGAGCCGCATCTCCCCCATGAATTTAATTCGCTTGAGTTCCGTGCTGTATCTTTGATTGCGTCCCCAGTCTGAATGAAGCTGGTGGATGACCAGGGCGATTGGAGTATAGCATCGAGATTGCCCTTAACTTTGGCATTCTAATTAGGCTTAGGGCACATCACCGAGGACACGTAGAGGTGTTAAAAGAAGCGTGGAGAGCAATTTTCTCGGTTCATAGGTGGCAGGGTGAGATGGCCATGCTAGTGCTCTGATATTGACTATGGATTCTACGCCCGATCATCGACCCAGCATAAAAAGGCTGGCAATGTCACATCATTATACAAAGAGAACGGAGGTTTTATTTCTCGGTGAAAATAACGAAGCCATTGGGATTGTGCACGACGCAACTATTTTGAAGTAGCCTGCAAAGAGATTCTACAGCACATGGCGGGGTCGTGGAACCATACTTCAGACAGCGTCAATCAGAACATCGGCAGAGACATCCAACTCCGGAAAATCACTGCAAGTAACAGCATCTGCCGAAGAGAGTTCCGCCAATATCAACGCCCCCGGTGCCCACAAGGGAAAACAATGACCTAAGAGGGAACACCAGATCTTTGAAAAAGGAAGTGACATTAACATAAAGAGGAAAATAACCGATCCTGCAAACAAAATACGCCAGTGTATGAGGATGCTAAAAAGGGGGGGGGAAAGGGTTTACATGACGGTGAATCTTTATCGTGAATCAAAATGGGGGCCAGAGAAATGGAGAAAGGGGATGGGAGCATCGTGACAGAGGAGGAAGGCAGCAGAGGATGGAGAAGAATGGACGAAGCCCCCAACACTGCCATAAGACCATGAGGACATGGAGATAGGGCAGGCCGGGAAAGGAACCGAGACGGGCAGAGGGGATTGTTTGAGCAAAGGACTCTGCGGCTCAGCAGGATTGGGCTAACAAAATGATGCCCGAACCTGAACAACGGAGATGAAGAAAGGGTAGAACCAGGTGTAAAAGGAGCAACAAGCATAGCCATAGCATGCTTGGGTAGCGAAAGGTCCTAACTCCGTTTACATATCCATGGAGTCAGCACCGCTGGCGAAGTTGAATCCGCCGGCGGGCTGCTGCTGGCCAGTGCCGAGAGTGAAGCCAGCCTGGGTCTGCTGAGGAGCCAGCTCGTCGATCTCACCAGCGGCTTCGTCCTCATCGGAGAAGTACTTCTCAATGATGTTGTAAGCCTTCATGTAGATCTCCTCGTTGGCGTTGTTTTGGCAGTCGTGAATCTTCTCCATGCCCCCGGCCTCCTCGATGAAGAGAGCGTAGCGGTTAACACGGGCGTCACCCTGACCGGCCTCCTTGTCCATCTCACCGACCTTCAAGATGTTCTCAAGGCCGTCCAGAGCAACCTGGATGATCTTGTTGTCGGGGCAAGCAAGTAGATCGCAGAGGGGCTTGATGCAACCTTGGGAAACAAGGTAGCGAATCTGGTCAGGCTTCTGGAGACCACCAGAGGTGGCGTTGGAGATCGCCCAGCAAGCCTCCTTGCGGGTCTTGAAATCGCCGTTGGCCAACAGGTTGATGAGAGGGGCAATGATGCCAGCGTCAATGACGGCCTGAATCTGACTTGAGTTTCCGGCGGTGATGTTGGAAATAGTCCAGCAAGCCTCCTTACGAATGCCGTCCTTGGTGGAGCTCAAAAGAGAAAGCAAAGCGGGAAGGGAGCCGCAGTTGATGATGACCTGGGTCTGAACATCATCACCGGTGACTATGGAAATATCAGTTAGCGTCATCGTTGGACTGTCTATGAATGTTTGAGGCGTGAATTACCAATGTTTCCAACCGAGCGGAGAGCGGGAGTCTGAACGGAGGTGGAGGCATGCATGAGAAGCTCCACGAGGCGACGAGGGATGCCCGCCTCAATGACAGCCTGGATCTTGTCGTTGCTACCGTCGGAGAGGTCTATTTTCAGAGTTAGCGAAGCGTCAAATAAAGAAAAAAACCGAAGCAGATTCTTACAAGAGATGGCCCAGCAAGCATCGATCAGCACCTCATCATCAAGCATGTAGATAAGCTTGGCGAGGACGGGCAGAGCAGGGGCAATCTAGAATGACCGTTAATAACAAGACCTCAGGCTTGTATAGTCGGGGCTAGACTAGCGCCGTAGGGTGAACATACAGTGTTCCAGTCGGGCTGGGGGGTCTTGCCACGGCAGAAGTTGCTCAGGGTCCAGGTCGCGTTGCGGAGCATGCTCAGCTTACGCCCATCGTTGATGAGGTTCAGGAGAGGGCGCAGGGCACCAGCACCCAGAACGAAATCACGGCAGTGAGGGCTGTCACCAGCAATGTTTCCGAGGGCCCAAACGGCCTGCTCGCGGACATCGGGCTCGGGGCTGGCGAGGAGCTCGACGAAGATGGGCACAGCACCAGCGGAGATCACAACCTATAGCATCATCAGCAAGGAACTCCGGAAGAGAATTTGGATGTCACATACTTGAGTCTGAGTAGCACTACCGCTAGCAATGTTTGTGAGGGCCCAGGCAGCTTCGAATTGGACAAGAGTGTGGGGGGAACGGAGGAACTCGACGAAACCTAGATGGCTAGTCAGTATTCTGTTACCGAGTCTAAAGAAAATAAAGAAGAAGGTGGACTGACGGCTAACGACACCGGTCTCGATGACACGCTCGATGGGCGGGTTGCGCTCCTTGGAAAGCAGCTTGCGGAAACGAGTGGTGGAGCTGCGCAAAGTTAGGAATTTTTGGTCCAATGAAAAAGCTCTGCTTGATTATGTACCTGATCTGGTCTTCGACAGAATCGGAGAAGACACCCTTCACCATCAAAGGGAGCTCGACGTTAAGCTAAAGAAACCATAGTGTTAGCTTTTGTGGTGTCTCGCATAGTGGGGTCGTGAGTAGTAATGGCCCGGGTTGGAGGGGTTGTTGGCCCCATAGCAACCGGGCGGTGAAAAAAATTCCCATGTTGATGATCGCATCATGAAAACAAAGGGAGTGTGGACTGAGGGCGACCGTCGAGGAGCCGGAGAAGACATCCAGATCTTATACCCGGGAAGCAAGGAAGTCTCCAAAGTAGGATCCAAGCTCTTGGAGAGGGCAGGGGAGCGGGTCAGGAAAAGGAGAACTACTAGAACTCACCTCGCTCTCGATAGCACTGGCCTCATCATCACTCTCAGTGGCGGCAGCGGTGCTACCACCAACACCAATTCCTCCATCGCGAGTCACAATACCACGTCGCTTAGCAAGACCCTCCTCGCGCTTCTGCTTGCGAATCTCGATTTGCTGCTCCTCACGGCGGCGACGGAGCTCATCGGGGCGGAACTGGTTCTTGGCCTTGAACTGCGTCCGACGATGCTCGGGAATATAGCGTTCCGCCATGTTGTGTGTTGTAGAAGGGAGAAAGCGCGCCTCTAGGTTTCAGTGTTGAAAGAGGTGATGAGAATGGGCGCGCGGGCGATGGGGGGAGGGTGAGGAAGGAGAGATGTGGGGGTGGGAGGAAGAAGAGGAAGAGAAAGGATTCGTGTGGGAAGGAGGGGGAGTCATGTGACAGCGCTCCCCGATATTTACTCTGCACGCGTTTGTCTCGACAGCCATCATTCATTTTAGCTCAGAATTGATTACAAAGTCTCATATTTGACAATTACTTGCAGGGATTTTCCTTTCTCTACCTCATTTTTATCTTTGTCTGGGGCCAAAGAGGGTGTTTCACTGGGTCAGGATGGACATCCACTAAGAAGCTGCACCATACAGCAAGTGGCTGCCTTGTTCCTGGAACAAGAACCTTCATTGGCAATTGCAAGCGTCTCAAACACCTGTACTTGACAATCAGCTGCTTCATAGATTGATTCCAGTCCCAGCATGGCATCTCTCGAGCTGGTGGATATCACCACCGCTTGCTCTCGTCGAGGCTATCTTAACACTGTTGGTGTTGTGGTGGACGTTTTGCCACCTTGTCGCACCAAAGGATCGTCGGTCTGTGTCACTTTTACTCTCAAAGATTGTCATTTCGATCAACCATCCTGGTATGGAGGGCTTAAAGTCAAATACTTCAACGACAGCATGGACGCTCTTCCCAATGCCCAGCTCAATGATGTAGTTTTACTACGGAAAATCCGAGTAGGTGTCTCCTACGGGAGCATGGTTAAACATTTCCATTCAAAGTATAGACTAATTCGGTTCTTCCAGATCAACATGTTCAATGACAAGCCGACCGGGGTTGCTTCTCAGCATGACCTTGTCCAGTGGGCAATTTTCCGGTCAGAGCCAGATCCCAGCTCTAGTCCGTCCATTACAACGGGCCCGGTTCCTTTTCCACTCAAGTCACTTGAGAAGCAAGCAGCCTTGATGCTTCTGGATAAGACTGCGACGGGCACACCAGCCACTATGGGACAGCCAGCCCGGCAAGAAGCTGTCCCACAGCAGCCTTCTCAGGTGGTTCAAGCGTCCATGACGACTGCGAACAAGAAGAGCGGACTCCCACTTGAGCTAATTCAAGATGTCCAACCGGGACCTTTTGTCCAAATACTCGGTCAAGTGGTCAAAACCAAGACCTACGATAGCGAAAAATGCATCTTGTACCTCACCGATTACACATCAAATGGTTCTTTGATGGACATCAAGAAGGATGACGAAGACGAGATAGGCACTGAAGGAGACACGTATGACTACCTGTCTCGAAGAATGAAAAATTGGCCTGGTCCCTGGGGTAAGATGACCATACAAGTCACCTTATGGGAACCGCACGCTACCTTCGCTCGGACGCATGTTAAAGACGGTCAACTTGTGCTCCTGACATACACTCGTATCAAACACGGGTATAACGGCGGCATCGAGGCTGCTGTCCATCAGGACAAACAATTTTCGAACAAGATCCACTTGCAAATTATATCCAATGACGATCATCGCGCTCGGGACCTCATGGAGCGACGAAAAGAATACTGGAGAATCCACGGCAAGCCCAGCGATGATCCTAAGAAAGCTTCCAGAAAGAACAAGAATGAGCAGAAGAAGAAAGAAGAAAAGATTGAGGAAGGCCAAAAGCCGTTGTCCTTGCCCGCACCTGGAAAGAATACCAACAAGCACAGTAAGTCGACTACTTGTTCAATGCTCAAGTCAAGGTATTCTAGTTGCTAATGTGTTTCGCACCAGTCAAAACACGATCCTACGAGGTCCCTCCCCGCTCTATAGATTACATTCTATCGGGCGCATCACACATCAATTCAATTCCCGGGGGAATCACCTACCAACTCCCTTTTCAAAATGTCTGCTACCGAACCACAGTCCGCGTGGTCGATTTCTTCCCGCCGAAATTGGAGGACTTCGCGGTGCAGGTACCCATGGAGTCCATCCTCGCGGGTGATGATAATCACGCTCCGACTAGTACTCCACGCATGGAATGGGAATGGCGATTTTGCCTTTTGGTTGAGGGAACGGAGCCTTTGAGATCAAAGAATGAAGTCCGCGCGCAGATGAAGCTTTTTGTTACAGGCGCGGAAGCCGTACATCTATTGAGCCTTGACCCTACCAAGTAAGCAATCGGCGTCCAGGTTGCTGAATGACACTTGACAGCTACTGATTACTCTTACAGTCTCCGCCTCCATTCGACTAGGTTAGGAGAGCTCAGAGAAAAATTGTTCATTCTCTGGGGTGACCTTGAAGAGCTCAAGCAGCAACATGCCACAATTACTGGTACCGAGGAGTACTGGGCACCAGCTAAGACATCCTCGTTGCCTTTCATGTGCTGCATCAAAGAATACGGTGTACCATGTACTCATCCCCTCGACCCCGATGATATGGCACTGGATGAGCCCGGTACGCCGGGTTGCACTATCCCCGACTGCTTCGGGTGGGAAAGACGCTTCACCATGTTTGGAACGACAATCCACTCATGACTATCCATTCCAGTACTCTTGCATACATGGGCGTAATAGGAGGCGAGGTTTTAAACTGTATATTGGGCAATTGCAACTAGCGTGGCATCTTTCATGAAAAGATACAGTAGAGTTTCCATAATCAATATGTATCGGATTCTTGGCATAATAGTAATACAGTTCCAATTTGCACCAGTGCATTATGAGATAAATCAATGCTCCAGTACCCATATGAACACCAGGAACGTCCTAACCTAAACCTCATTCTGCAGGGAATGTTTGATTATTCAACTTTCCCGATACGCCGTTCCCCAAAACTCCAAAAAGGAAAGAAAACAAAACTGGAACTCTCATCAACCTGGAGAGACGTTCGGCAGTTCTGTGGTAAAAACGCCCCTAGAAGGCGGAAATAAATCAAGAAAAGACGCCATTGCACGTCACGAGAAAACCCCCACGCCCAAATGATAATATTTCCGGATCAAGACAATAGCTAATAATTGTTCTGTGTCACGATCGTTCTGTAGGAACACGCATGCATAACCCACACTGTGATTTGTAAGATTGAACCCATGCATGCCCTTCCGATCACAAGACATTGGTGAGAACGTGTCCAAACAAGTGGCATGTTGTACTTGCCACCGAGCAGTTGAACGGGCACCAAAAAAGAGTTCCTTGGGAAGAGAATGAAGTAACGACCATGCAACCACCACCTAAATTTTGGTCACCTTAACGATGTTGGTATCAATACCGTGAGCAACTGGTTCAAATCGGCAGCTGTCACCACGGAAGCAGGTCTTTTTGCCAGGTTCGCTCTGGGGGCAGCGATGACCATAGATACATTCAGGATCATCACACTCCAGGCCAAATCGGCAGGGAGTCATGCGAGCGATAGCAGTCAAGATGTGAAGTTCTTGCTTAGTCAACTTGCGGTCATGGTCGTGATAGCAGTACTCTTCGTTGGGGCACTCGCCCAGCAGGAAGTGGTAGTTGCACAGCTTCAGCTTCTTCAGGCGATTCAAATCATCCCGAGGAATGCTCTTGAAGTCAAGTCGATCCACACGTTGCCCGTACTTATTGCGCTCCACCGTCTTCGGAGCCGTTGAGCCAGTTGGTTTAGGGCGAACCACTTGTTGGAAATCAGGTGGATTATCAATTGGATTCGGAGTTGAAACAGATAAAGCGACACCCGAGGCACTCGTATTGGTGGATGTCCGGGACAAGGCTGGAGGATTTGACAAGTTCGAGAATTGTCGAGAGGGAGAAGGTGTGAGCACAGATCTCGTAGGCAAGGTACTCTTCCAAGGAGCGGCGGCCCACGCGGGCGCCATTTTCGCAGAGCGAAAGACGTCTGGGAATTTGGCGATGCGATAAGAACTTTTCACTGCATCCAGCTCCCTCTCAAATGTGACACCCTCTACAAGCGAGACGCGGCCGGTGAGGTCGTTGTCTTTTGACACGTCTTCGAGGAAGAGAGCATATTCAGTATTGGATGGGCAGCCGACGAAGATCTGGTGGCAGTGGCAATTGTATAGGAAGACTTGGAAGGTCTCTGCGTGATGGAGAATAAAGTCATGTTAGATGTGACTTCAGAATTGATGTAGCCATGATTTATCCACGAACCTTGAATTTTATTGTGCGCACTGTTCTTCCCAGATCCAACATCCACAATTTCAGAACACGACATGGTCTCGTTGAAGCCTCGAATGAAGTCGTGAATCGCGCCGGAATCTGGAAGGATTCCGTTGCGCGCGCACTGCTCCCCAAAGCCTTTCGCATTCAAATAAATCTTCATCATTATCTTCGGGGTCGTGACGCTTGGGAGGTACGACTTCAAATATGAGTGGATCGCAGCGTAGAGCTGGTCTGCAGCGTTGCGACCACCGTCTTCGCCGCCCTGCAAAAATTCATCCTTGAAAATTATACCCTCGCCGTCAAGTAACACGACGACAAAGGGTTCTCGGTCCTGGAAAGAACCAGCCACATATCAGCGCATGCTCTTGGGGTGTCATCCCACCACGCGCGCTCACCATAATTGTTTTGATCTGGGATATCTGCTGCATCAACTCCATCTCATGTAGCTGAATATCCCGATTGAATCGGGTTTCGCGTTCATGGTCGAGTTTTTCCTGCGCGAATGAGGTCTCTAGATCGGTCACTCGTTGAAGGAGATCCTATCGTAGAGCGCAGGTAATTAGCCTCTGCCAGTGCCAAAGAAGGAGGAAAGCGCCTACCTCAATAAGCTGATTCTTTTGCTGTTCCAGTGTGCCCAACTGGCGATACCGCTCAAGATATGGTGTTGAAGTCATGGTCGGTGTTCATCAATGTGAGTTCAAGAGATTGGTCTGAAGTGGGTGGTAGAAAGAGGAAAGTCGAAGAAAAGGTGAAGATTGGGTGATTGGATTCTCCAACAAGAGGGAGATAGCGTTAAATTGGCAGGCGCTTGCGCGACGACACGACAGTCAACCTTTTTGAGATGAATTTCTCGCGAAGTTTGATAGAAAGTAGTTTTCTTCCGCAAGAATTTGCTGGAGAAGAACGTAACTTACTATGTCTTCGAGTTAATCTTGTTCTTTGTCGTTCCTAAAAAAAAAAATCTGGATCTTCAAAGGGAGAGGACGCGATGCTGAGTCAGCTTCCCCGGTACCGAGTGGACCTGCCGTAGCTAAATTGCAACGTGTGATCACCCCTACTTACCTCTTACCTTCCTCTCGTGTACTCCTCTTCTTTTCCCTCACCTCCATTCTCCCGCTTTCAAGATGACTCGCTTTGGATTCCTCTCCCTGGCTCTTCTCTCGCTCCAGGCCTTCGTCGGCACCGGCTTCGCTGCTGTAAGTTTGCCCTGGCTTGTTCACGAGACTGGTGTCTCAATTGCGAGAGTTCACATGGTGTGGAGACGCTCAATGGCCATTGACTGACATAATGACTTTTTTGTCACATAGGATGCCGAGAATGTTGCGGAGACTGAGGCTCTCAGCCTTGCCGTCTCGGCAGAGGCCTCTTTCCCTGCCTCCGAGATCTTCGGTGTGAAGCTCGTCAACGGTCACCCGACCCAGGCGCTGATCGCTTTCACCAATGATGAGCCAAACCCTGTCACCGTCAACTTCGTGGGCGGCAGCCTGTGGAGTCTCGACGAGCAGAGCAAGAACGTTCGCAACCTGACCGCCACCCGTTACGGTGTCGAGATCCCCGCGAACTCGAAGGAGAGCATTAGCTACAGCTTCGCGACGGAGATGCACCCAGTGGATATCCGTTTGAACATTGCAGCCATCATGTCCGACAGCGAGGGCCACTTCTTCACCGTCCAGGCCTTCAATGGCACTGTGAGCGTGGTGGAGCCTGAGACCAGCATCTTCGACCCCCAGATGTAATTGCCACCCGTCCCCTCCATCTCGCGCCTTTATTTCATCTGCGATCAATTGGCACTAACCGTGAACCCTAGTATCTTCCTCTACTTCTTCCTCCTGGCTTGCTTCGTCGGTGTCGTCTACTTCTTCTACACTGTCTGGGTCGCTCCCTACTTCCCCCAGAAGCGCAAGGGTGGCAAGTCTGGCGAGAAGAAGACTCCTGCTAAGCGCGAGATTGTCGAGGACACTCCTAGCCCCGCTATCGCCTCGGCCACTACCTACAACGCTGACTGGATTCCCGCCCACCACATCAACCGTCCAGAAGCCCGGAAGGTCAAGGGCAGCAAGTCCAAGGCCCGCGCGTAAACCAACGGCATGCAACCAGGAATCTCCATTTGATCGTGAGGGGAATTGGGGACTAGAGAAGCGCAAGGCTTGTGTCCGAATCTTGTCAAGGCAAATCGGCGGTGGCAGCCGTGGCGCGCACGCTGAGAAATGCTCTGCGCGCTTTCTGTCTGTCTGTCTACCGCTGTGACACCGGAGGATGTACATTTACACATAACACAAATTTAGCCCATTATAGCTGCCTCCGAAGGTCATTCTTGAAGGACTGCGGAGGCTCGATTTACAATTTTGAAAACAGGCTGGTCTCTTCTTGCAGCGGACGTGGTAGTCTGCGCTTGGCGGCCCCGTCAGTTAGAGCCTCTTCCATTCTTTGAATTCCTCCCCTAGATGTTTCTTCAGCTCGGCGAATCGATTCCCAAACGGTTCACCACAGCGCCAGCAGACGAAGTCCCGTTTTAGATAGCCTTCCGCCGTTGGTTGCCGCCGCTTATCGTCCGCCGCCAAGGGGAAGTCGTTTAGGGGCACGAAAAATGGCGTAGAAAAGCTGTTGTAGTGCTTTCGGTGTTTCAGCCGCTCGCTATACCGGTCTACCGCAATGACATGGATATGTAGATGGTTCATTGACGGGACTGCATGAACACCGCACATAATCTCCCGGTCCCAATCGCGTCCCGGGGGTAGTTCGTCTGGAGCCGGGTCGGCGTTGAGTGCTGCCCGTCTCGCTTGCTCTTGTGCCGAGTCCTTGCCATATTTTCGTCGCAACTCGCCCGCAGCGAGCTTGCGCAACCTCTGTGCTTCTGCTTTGACCTTGGCGAGGAACTCGGCATCCTCAAAGGCCTCGAATGGGTGGAGACGGGTCTTGGATTGGTCGCGTGGGAGGAGGAGCAGGTGAAGCGACGATTTAGGGAACATATCATGAATCGCGACGAAGTCATCGTTATGATATACTACGACGCTGGAGGGATATGACTCCGGCTTAGCGATGTATGCGCCCAGTCCATCTCGGCCTCCAGAGAATGCCTTGCGGCCGCGTGGTACGTTGCCTTTGGGGGAGTTGCTGGGCGCGTGTTTTGGCTGCTTGTTTCGGGACGAGAGGAGTTCGGTGACTATGAGAGGTCAACTTTAGTGTCATCGCATTCGATTCGAGATCAAGACCTGGCTCACAGGCATTCCTCTTCTCCGCCGTTGTAGTCTGCTCCCTTGGAGACTCGATACCTTTGTGCTGATCTAGTTTTTGCTCCACGTCAGACATGACAGCCGAGTACCAAGATGAATGATCACATGGACAGTGAAGACGAAGAGAAATCGAAGAGAAATAAACCCTTTGAAACTCTGCCAAAAGCCCAAAACACGGCTTCTTCTCTGAGACTTGCAAGCAGCAGAAACTCCAGCGACTTTTCGAAAGTCTCCCCGCAATCCGCCCAAAGCGGTTTAGTGCGGGACAATTGACCGAAAAGGCCCAAAAGCTCGCCGCAACACTTTTCTCTCCAGCGCCAGCGACAATGGGCCCCAAGAAGAAAGCCGCCGGTCCCGGTGGCCCCAAGCCCGGCACGAAACAGGCCAAGGCAGCTGCGGAAAAAGCGGCCGAGAAGAAGCCCGTCGCAGAGGAGCCCAAGAAGCCGACAGTAAAGGAAGTGATTGGCGGCGCATCATGGACCGGCAAGCTGCCCGTCAATATGCTGTCGGAGCATTGCCAAAAGCAGAAATGGGAGAAGCCAGAGTATAGCATGGTAATTCAATTGAACCCAATGGCCTTGTTTTGGTTGACTATTCTCATATAAGAGCAAGCGCTGATATAGTGGGAATTACAACTACAGATTCAATCTCGCGATGGTTATGTGTCGGCCGTGACGCTGAAGAAAATAGACCCCAAGACTAAAGAATTGATCGTCCTGCCTCCAATGAAAGTACCTTCGTCGCATAAAGAGCTAGCCGCCCAAGCGACGGCCTTGGAAGCTCGCCATTTTGCCGCAGCCTTTGGGCTTTTCCGAGTCTGCAACATGCGCAACCTTCATATGATGATGCCACCGAAATATAAGAACCTTTGGCGAGAAGAGTTCGCGCAGATCAAGACGGTCGAGACAAAAGAGGGCAAGGGTTGGCTGTACGAGGCGGATCCATTTCTTGCCAAGCAGGAACGTGAGAGTGCAGCGGCGGACTTGGAAAAGAAGAAAGCAGAGCGCGCAAAAATGCAGGCGAAAGACAAGGCCTCCGGATCAGAACTCGGCTTGGGGAGTGGTGATGCCAGGGGAAAGCGAATTTGGTCGCAGGCTCCAAAGGTGGATATGGGTACTCGCATTCGACGCGAGATCGAGGGCCTTTTACGGCAACATACTGTCTGGAATGCGTATGGGGTGAAGATTCCCGAGCAAGAGAAGAGCAGTATCGTTGAGGAGTTCTCGCGCTTAGGCTTCCGCCGCAGCCACGTTGAAGAGGCCGTTGTCGAATGCAAAGACCGCGAAGAAGTGCTGGAGTGGCTGTTGGTTTACGTACCCGAGGATGACCTGCCTCAATGGAGCTTGCCCGAGGGATACTCGGCCGGCGTCAGTCTCGCCACTGGTGATCTCGCTCGAGAAGCCAAGATCAAGCGCCTGGCAGCCATTGGCTATCCAGCAGATCTATGCTCCCAGGTACTCGATAGCAAGAACGGCGATGAACTGGCAGCGGCGGAGTCTCTGCAAGGAGCTCTTGCCCATGGATCCACGTTCACATCCGCCTCAATCCCCGAGGGTGATGCTGGAGCTTGGGCGGAAGAACAGGAGACTCTCGAAGCCATCTTCGGCGAGCGCTATGTGCGTGTATCCCCTCGAGTCTGCGAGATCAAGAGCGAGGCTCCCGAGATTCCTGAGAATGCCATCTTCTGCTTCCAAGAGCCATCCAATCACTACCCCACGGTACCTCCGGTCATTTCAATCCAAGCAAAGGGGATTCCGGCGTACATTAGGCTTAGCGCAATCCGTCAGGCAGTGCAGTACGCCGAGGAAAATTTCTCTGGGGAATCTATGATCTTCAACATCCTGGATTGGCTAGAAGTCAACCTACCGACTATCATGGCCAATCCCGGTAAACTTCGCGATATCTCTTCGGTGACTTCTTCTGCCGCTACAGAGACTCGCGAGATTCCTGTACGGCCTTCTCGCAGACAGCGGAAGGGCATTGATTGGAAACCTAACTCCCCGCAAAGTCAAGCGATTCGTCAAGCATGGGAGGCTAAGCAAATTACCCCGGCGCAAGTTGACATGTGCCGAAAGCGAAAGGCTCTTCCTGCGTGGAATACGCAAGAGGATATCATCTATGCGGTTGACAATTACCAGGTGACAATCATTTCCGGAGAGACTGGTAGCGGTAAGAGTACTCAGTCGGTGCAGTTTGTGCTGGATGAGATGATCCGACGCGGACTTGGAGGCGCTGCAAATATCATCTGTACTCAACCACGCCGAATTTCAGCCCTTGGACTTGCAGACCGAGTCAGTGATGAGCGGTGCTCGACTGTGGGCGATGAGGTTGGGTACGTGATCCGTGGCGAGTCGAAGGTCAAGCAAGGTGTGACCAAGATCACTTTTGTGACGACCGGTGTTTTGCTACGTCGGATTCAGTCCGGTGGCGATGCAGATGGTAATGTTGCCAGCTCTTTGGCTGACGTCTCACATGTGGTAGTGGACGAAGTTCACGAGCGAAGTTTGGATACAGACTTCCTCCTCGCTCTGCTTCGTGATGTGCTGCACCATCGCAAAGACCTGAAGGTTATTCTGATGTCTGCTACCCTTGACGCAAATATCTTCATGGACTACTTCGGTGGCTCAAAATCTGTCGGTCTGGTAAATATCCCCGGGCGTACTTTCCCCGTGCAGGACTATTACTTGGACGATGTGATCCGCGATACTGGCTTTGCTCCTGAGTTGAGTGAAAGATTCGAGGATGAAGATGATGCTCCTCAAGGGGAAGCGTCATTGGGCAAGGCACTGCGAAGTGTTGGAATGGGCATCAACTATGATTTGATCGCATCAACCGTTCAATACATTGATGATCAACTAGGCGATGAACCAGGAGGCATTCTGATCTTCCTACCTGGTACTCTTGAGATTGATAGGTGTCTGAATGCAGTGAAGAGGATTCCCAACGCCCATCCCCTTCCCCTCCATGCATCTCTCCTTCCAGCTGAGCAGCGCCGAGTCTTCCAAAGCCCGCCCAGGGGTAAGCGCAAGGTCATCGCCGCCACCAACGTTGCTGAAACGTCTATCACTATCGAAGACGTAGTCGCCGTCATCGACACCGGCCGCGTGAAAGAAACCAGCTACGATCCGAAGGACAACATGGTACGTCTTCAGGAAGTCTGGGCATCCCAAGCAGCCTGCAAACAGCGCCGTGGTCGTGCAGGTCGTGTTCGCGCCGGTATTTGCTACAAGTTATACACCCGCAAGGCCGAGTCCAACATGGCGCAACGGCCAGACCCTGAGATCCGCCGTGTACCGCTTGAACAGCTCTGTCTATCTGTAAAGTCCATGAAGGGTATGGACGACGTCGCGAACTTCCTAGCAAACACCATCACTCCACCGGAAAGCATTGCCGTCGAGGGTGCTCTCACTTTCCTTCACCGCGTCGGAGCCCTAGACCACGACCGTCTCACAGCGCTGGGTCGCTACCTCTCGATGATCCCAGCGGACCTGCGGTGCGCGAAGCTTATGATCTACGGCTCCATCTTTGGCTGTATGGAGTCCTGTCTCATCACTGCGGCTATCTTAACGGTGAGGAGTCCATTCGTCTCTCCGCGTGAGAAACGCGAGGAAGCCGATGCTGCAAAGGCCGCTTTCTCCCGTCCTGGCGATGGAGACTTGCTCACCGACCTTGCCGCCTATCAGGCATGGACCGAACGAGGCCGAACCCAAGGGTTTTGGCAGACGCAGTCCTGGTGTGGTGCGAACTTTTTGTCTCACCAGACGCTACGAGATATCTCATCCAACAGGGCGCAGTTCGTATCCTCGCTCAAGGACGCAGGGGTTCTGCCCGTGGATTATAACGAATCCGCGACAGCACTCAACCGCAACGGCGCGAATAAGAACCTCCTTCGTGCACTCATCGCAGGCGCATTCCAGCCTCAAGTTGCGCAGATCTCGTTCCCGGATAAAAAGTTCGCAAGCTCGGTCACTGGTACTGTGGAAGTTGACCCCGATGCGCGGACAATCAAGTACTTCAACCAAGAAAACGGACGAGTCTTTATTCATCCCAGTTCGATCCTATTCTCTGCACAAGGTTACCCCAGCGCAGCCGCTTACTTGGCCTATTTCACAAAGATGGCGACAAGCAAGGTCTTCATTCGCGATCTTACCCGTAAGTTTCTTATACTTCCTCTTCATACCATTCGTTTATATGCCACTAACGAGCACTTTACAGCATTCAACGCTTACTCGCTCCTCCTCTTCTGCGGCTCAATCACCCTCGACACAATGGGCCGTGGCTTAATCGTAGACGGCTGGCTCCGACTACGTGGGTGGGCCCGCATCGGTGTTTTGGTATCGCGATTGCGGACGATGCTGGATGAAGCTCTCCAGGCACGCATTGATAATCCAGCGTTAGGATCGACTGGTGGAGCGGGCGATCGAGTCATTGAGGCGGTGAAGAAGCTGATTGAGCTGAATGGGCTGGATCAGTAATGGTACTGGTGCATCAAAATTAGATCATATAAAGAAAGTAACGCGCATCAGGGTCATATCTGCGCTTGAATGGTGTAAATACGTCAACGGATTTTAAATAGAGCACTTAGAACTCTTCCTTATCATTGACCCAGTAGAGTAGCTAGAAGCCTACAAAGTACGGTATATCCCCCCTAAGCTACAATCAACTATGCAATGTCGGCTTAGCAATGGAAACTACGTGGCGACAGAACCATCGGATCGAACAAACGGACAGTGAACAAGGTGAGAGGATTACGACAAAGGGAATCAGCATTCGCCTCGTAGGATACACTATGTTAAGGTCAAAAGAAGCCACAGTAAAGCATGTTAGGCCATAAAAGAACAACGCAGAAGAAGGACTCCAGACAAATAGGATCGTCATTAAGGCAGTGTGCTCCTGAGAGCCGCAGCAGAGGAGAGGGGTGGAAGTGAAGACAACTGATATCAGATATGGGAGAATACTCAAGAACTCATCAACACGAAGCGAAGAAAGGTAGGCATGTGGTATTTATCGTGAGAATAAAGCAAGATGGCGAGGGAATAAGAATATCGAGAAACGCCGAGGGAAAAGCAGACCATGTGCGTAACGCCGTCCAACCATAAAACTCCCCGCACGGTGTCAAGTCGTTTCATGTAAAGGTCGTGAGGCGAGTGGATGGTGGGTGTGGGACGAATTGTAGGCGAATCGAAGAATGTTGGCGGATGAAGAAGGGAGATAAGGTCATGAACGCCAGTGAATATCCAGGTTTAGAACTCACTCCGATGATCCTCCTTGGAACGGTGTCCCAAAAAGCAATCATGATGCACATAAGAAATAGGAAGGGATGTAGGGAGTGTGATTTGCTTGCACTGTACAAGCAGGGAAAGGACATCCAGGCTGGCGGATTAGGGATGACCTTAGTAGTTGGCCACACCGTCCAGCCGGTTACGGTCGTTGAAAGGGGTGGGCCGAGGCAGCTTGAAGCCACCCTTGATCTCGGTCTCTACAAACGTAGAGGCCCGCTTGAATCGGCGATCCGAGTATTTCTCATAGATTGCCAGGTGGTGACGCTGGGGGTCCTCACAGCATTCCAGCATGGTCGACATGACAGGAACGAGCTGCGCATAGAGGTAGCCACTGTAGTGTGCGTGGGCCATGGTCTAGCAAGAAGGGGTTTAGCAGGTGACCGTGGGTAACGAAAACAGTTGCGAACTAAAGGGCTTAAAAGAGAGACCTACCCAGCATCCCTTTCGCAGCATCAGAAGGGCGAGACAGTGGGCTCCCGCACTAGCGAAGCTCGGAGGAGTGGCAACGAAGCGCTCATCCATGATCGTCAGTTCCAGGAAGTACTTGGCGACAGTACGGGTCTCGAGATCATAATCGTCGGCTTTGCTGATACGTCGCAGGAAACTCATGGGACCCGGCCAGCCGAGGTCATAGTTGAGGATATTCAGCATGAATCGCTCCGCCTTAAGGATTTCGTCCATGCTGTAGCCTCCGTCGACCATGTAATGGATCTCCGCAATGGAGGGAGACGTTATCTCCTCATACTTCGCGGCAATGTAGATCGCAGTAGCACCGACTAGCTGAAGCTTACCAAGCGAGACAATTTTGTGCGATAGGAACCGGTCGATGAGGTTGACACACAGGAAAAGCGTCTCGGGGAGCAGTGCGAAGCGGAAGTGGACCTGCACCAGCCAGTCCATGAGGACTGAGCGCATCGACCACTGGATCTCAGCCTGATTAGCCATGTAGTCTGCTGTGGGCAACATGGCAATCTGTGATGATAGGTCAGTATCGAATGTCATTCTAGAATTGATTGGAATAGGAACTTACCTCCTTGTAGCGCAGATACTCGAAGATTTCCGTGCTGTATTCAGCAACCATGCTTGAGTCGTAGAAATCTTCCTCGATTTCTTCCTCGGTCTGATTTGCCTCGACGAAGGATTGAGCATGCAGAATCTCACGCTTCATCGCAGCGGTAGCCCGGGGAAAGATCATGGTGGTTGTGCCACCGGTGGTGTTCTCGGTACGAGAGAGGTAACTACGAGGATCTTCGTCTTCTGAATCCTCAACCTCCGACATAGCTGGGCCAGTGACTTCCGGGGCTCGATTATCATATGAACCATCGAACGAGTTGGAGACTGGAATTGAAGGAAGTGCGCGGGGTTCTCCCACGTCGGTCGCAGCAGGGATAGGTTTGGTGGCCTCTGCCTGCGATGGGATCATCTCACGATTCTGGCGGCTGTGTTCAGCGATGTGCGCCTCGGTAGAGCCCTCCGACGGGACGTCAAAGTACTCTTGTTCCTCCTCTTCGTCATTCTCCCTGGCAAGGTCTCGTTCGGTTTCCTTTCCATTCGGCCGTTCATCGCTGCGAGCGGGCTGGGTGGTGATAATTACTTCCTTGGATGTTTCCTTCTCGGCGACGGGCTTCAGCTGATCGCGGAAAACCACGTTGGTATTCTTGGCACTATTCTTGATCGCAGTAACATGAGCTTTGCCAGCAGGGTTTACCGGCTTCGATGCGAGATTGTTCAGGAAGCCCTTCGCGCTCGACATCGACAGAGGGCGCTGGGCTGGCTGCGAAAGGGCGGGTTTGGTGTCGGCGCCCTGGGTAGCAGGCTTGCCAGGCAAAGCCGAATTCTCACGAATCGGCTGAGCATTGCTCAAGTCGCCGAATGCTCGGCGAGTGTTTGCATTGCCGTTCTTCGCGTTCTGAGCCATCAGGCTGAGTGCCGGAGTGGACTTGTTTCGTTGGTGGATTGCCTTATTGGCGTGGAAAGAGGGCAGCGCATTTTCGTCGCCACGGACGCGAATTCGCTGCGGCTGAATCAACAAGTTAGCACTTGAGCCATTCGATGGCGATTGCACGCGGAACACGGAATGCCTCGAGTAGGTTTATGCGATGGGATGCCGGCTATGCGAGCGACGACGCCCTGAAACCCGGCGGCTGGCGATCGACTCGTCACGGCAAGGTCGACGCAATAAACACTGGAATACAACGCAACACGATTCAATAAACGTACCTTCGCATCCATCTCGCCGGTGCCCAGGATAGATGGCAGACAAACACGTTTGTTGGTGATGTCGAAAAGGGCTTGTTTATGTTTTGCTGTGTTGAGACGAAAGTCGAGGGCAGGACCCGCTTCGCCTTATTGGCCGAGCTCAGCAAAACAAAACACGGCGGACCCGCTTATCTATCACAAGGGCCAGTCAGATCGTGTATTTCAAGTCGTATAGTCAATACGGGTCGTCGCCGGGGCGAAGCAGAGTATATTCGGTAGGACTTACCCGCTGACACACGCAATTTCCTGACGGTCGGGTTTAATGAAACTGGCAAGCGTCACTGCTCGTGCGGATGGGGTGGACGGAAAAGAAAGGAAAATAAACAAGGAGCAATTTCAGGGCGCAAACATGAGGCCTGGCAATGAAGGGATGGAATTACTGCACGTGATCAGTAACTTACGGCAGATTGCGAACTTTGTAAAGGCGGTGTCATCAGCGGTGTGGTTCGAAAGATGAAGCCGTTCACCGCCTAGGGTTGGATTCAAGGTCGGAGGGCTTATCGGGCTTATCTATGACATCATACCACTCTCGTCACGTCTCCCATCGTACACGCTTTTTGTCCTTTTTCAATCTCCCCTCCACACATGGGGGACAAATTATAAGAAAATCCATACTGAATCTACTACCAATGTGAGGACCTAGTTTCGATAATTTTTGCCCTCAATATTTGAATAGTGGGGACACAATCGCCCCCAGGGGATAAATGTGGCACCCGACGCGCTAGTACGCGGGCCCACGTGACTCTTGACCGCTCGCGGGATGGAGCGGTAAATCTTTCCCAACGGCGAGTCCATTCCATCAAAGCGCAGATTCGCTCGTGATGGCGATCAATTTAGCATCATTATGCGTCTGGTCAAACGAGCCAATAGCAGCTCATATGAAGAATTGATGTAGTTCACGTACTTGCTTTCCTTCTTAGTCTGATCAAGTGTCCTAAACCCGCTCCATGATCAGTAGCCGTTGGAGAAAGCCGGGATCGGGGAGGATCTTAAAAATGGAGACTCGACAGACGTTCGGTCTGGACAAGCCATTTCGTAACGCACGTTCCGCCTTCCGGCAATTCTGGGCCAGTCACCAAAGTATTTCATCCACCCATTATGGAGTCCAAGAAATCAGTTTGCAGTTCCAGCACCACCACCCTCCAGCAAGCGTCAATGGAGAGCCACTCGATCCGCCCAACTATCGCTTCTCACGGGACTCGTTATGGGGCCACTAGTTGACACGCAAGTCCTTACTAACTGAGTTTCCTTACTCCGTAGTTTACTAGGTATATGTGACTCGGATACAGTTTCGCTTCTTCTTTCAAGAGGACCCTGAGGGTCCCGGACGAATGCCTTCCATAGAGTCCAGTCTTAAACCTTAGCCGATAGCTGCCCCGCCCATGGGGAGTTTAGCAAATGCGCTGCAAATCTTAGCCTTTTTTCCGAGCCTTTTCAGTCTCCAGGTAGTAAAGCCAACGTGCTTGAAATGCTCCCGAGGAGGGGTAACCTCAGCCGGCGAAGATCATGCGAAACAAGCTGTGTTGAACGTCCAGTCATGCGATGCGGCGATGTGCCCATCGAGAATATAGGAGTGTAGGAGTTTGGAAACCTAAAAACCATTCTTTAAGATGGTTGCATATTCTGTCTCGTGTCATGCTAAATTGAGTGTCCTTGACATTGCGCACCAACTGTACAAACCTCTTCCTCCCCCCATCATTCCCCTCTCGCCGCCTCCTCTCGGAACCACCACACCCTGCACAACCCCGCGCGTTACGATTTCTTCTTATTTTCAGGCATCGCTCGTGTCGCGATATTGTAATTTAGGTCTCTAGCATAGTATATTTGCGATGCGACAAGACCGGAGGGCTAAAGTCGCATAGGGTCGGTATAGGCCGCCGTGCCACACAGCTCGTTCCCTCGTTAGCCAATGCCCTCCATCAGAGCCGATCAAGTATAAAGAGCTGAATAATCCTTCATCTTTCTTGATGATAGAACAATGACCTGCACAGCGACTTCATTGGTTGCGATTAGTATTCGGTGGACTGTCGCCGTCCTTCGAGGGGGCGACCGGGTCAACAGAGTGCCCTGCGGTGTGCGCCGCCTAAAGTAGCACTAGAAGCAGTTCCACCACCCAAAGAGAGCGATAAAACCTCGATCGCTTGGGCTGAAAAGCATTTCCATATGATCTATATTGAATCGGCTTCCAGTTGGTGGGACAGAGCGCTCGGCGCAATGGTTATTCGGGTTGCGACAAGCGATGCGCATTTGCGAAACGATCCGGCCCTGAAAGAGGGAGCTATCGGGCTCGCATCAGGATGAGCTACGGGTGTATAAACGAAGGAGAATTAGTACGCTGAATAGTCAAATGGACTTTTCTATCAAACTATAGCTACTACGAACCCTAGGAGATAGACCCCGATGGAATGTGATGGCTGGACCGGGCGCCGGAAGCGCAAATCGCCATGTCACCGGCCCAAGACAGCCCGTTTTCTCGCTTTAGGTGAAACCCATCGTACGCACCCACTGGTCAAACCCTCGTCAACCTTCAACCTTCTCCTGCTTCTATCCCCAGTCGACCTCCCACCCTCCCTCGCCAACCAATCCTCGTCGTAACTTGGTAATCATCGTCCTTCGTTGCCCATGACTCTCCCCAACTCGTTCCTGAGCACGGGTTTCTTCGTTTCGGCTACTGGGCCACCGCTGACATAGCCCCAGCGCTTCGTAGAGTCAACCACGACAATCCCCTCGTCCACACTCTTCCACACCACCCATCGACCCTTCCTCCACCCCGTCTTGGATTTCCCACATCCCTGCGACTCGGTCGGAATCAGGGTCATTCGTGCTAGGTATGTCTATAACCCTCCTCCATCCACTTCCGAGTCCTCGTCGCTGGACCTGTCTCCCCAAAGCCCGCTTCTCCCCCAGGTCGGCCGGACTCGGCTAGCGAATGACCATCCATCCATCATCTATCGCATCTAAACTCATCTTGAATGCGAATTCGAACTGCTGGAATGGCCATTGTACTGATATTCGTGGTCTTCTCTGCTAGGTGAACCGCCGTCGTCCTCGTCCCGGTTCATTCTCGGTTCTGGTGTTGCGACAGACAAATCCCCCTCCATCCCCATCGAAAAAGCCCTGCGTCCACCTTTTCCCAACATCATCAACCCGGAAGTGGTCTATCCACTTGTCGACCTTGCCGAATCCTAGAATTGTGGTAGGTGAGATGGACAAATTTCCCCCTCTCCCACTGCCTCTACACTTCAGACCCTTCCAGTCGCTTCCCCCCGGTCATGGGTCCCGTCCTTTCGCTTCCCTTCTATCTTATACAAGCAGTGGGTTGATGCAGTCATCGGTATAGCAAGCGAAGGTCTCTCTCTCTACTTCCTTTTCTTCTGGATCTGCCCAGCATGCAAGCCGCTCAGCTTGACGGGCTTCCTGGCCTAGCTGGACCGGCGGCTCTGGCGGAGGTCTCTTCCCGAGATCAGTTGTTGAGGAACCCGGTCCCCAAGAACGTCGCCTTTGAGCTTCTCCTGGATGAGAACTCCAAGGTGCGGGCCCGGATTCCGATGCGCGTGCAGATATACCCTCATGACACTACGGATTCCATCGTGACTACGGTCAAAAATTTCTATGGCATCTACGATGGCACTGCCAGTGGAGTGAGCTTCGAGGATGAACATGGGATCACTCTCATCGCAAGGTATGAAAACTTGAAGAACAATGGGACTGTATATGTCAGAGTCATTCCCATCCAATCTTTTGGGGATTCCTGTTACGGCGGCTATCCCACGGAGCGCAAGCGCCCTAGCTTGGGCGAGCCGTTTCAGATGACCGACGGCATGGTCCCCGTCATGGATCAGCCATCGCGACCATCCTCACGTCTCGCAAGGAAGCGCAGCACATCTCCCTCGAACCGGAGTCTCCGCAGCGCTTCTCAGCACAAACAGGGTTCTCGTAGTGGTCTCAAGAGTCGCGGATCCAGCCATGCCGGGTATCCCGACGAGGAAGGTGGACTAAGCGACAGCGAGTCCACTTACAGTCGCAAAGCTCGCGGTGACACATTCGCCAGCTCCGACATAAGTATGGAAAACATACTACAAGATGGTCGTCGCAAACGACCCAAGTTTGACAGCTCGGTGAGTAGAAAATTTCCACCCATTTCGCTTTCGTCTTTTTTTTCTCTCCTCTCTGTCTCTCTTATCTTCTGTATTTCCATTTGTGAATTTTTGATGATCGCTTGTTTCCTAACATCCACTCTTTTCCTCTAGGAACTCCCCCTCTTCGCTCCTCCCCAAGTCCCCCTCACTACCTCAACCTCCTCCATCTCTCCTCAACGTCGCTCTGTGGGACAAGAAGGCGCTGGCTCTCCTTTTGCCCGTCCTACCCACCGCCCTTATAACTACCAGCAAGCGCTGCCGTCGCCACAAAGCTATGGACATAGTGAATATGGCGCCCAGTCAGGGCGCAATACTGTGTATGCGACACCCATGGTTCCCGACCATGCGCATCGAGTGCCGTATAGCAATTCCGGTGCGCGCGTGAGCGGCCATGGCATCTTGCCGACCCCTGACCCCACCATCGCAAGCTGCATCTCCGATGAGGATGTCGCGATGCAATTGATCCGTCTAGGCGATGCCTCGAACTTCTCTCATGGTCGCACATCAGCCTCAACGCTCGATGATGCCTTCAGTGGCGTTGCCGACGCCGCTTCCTCTACTGGCGCTACGAGCGACGGCGAAGATTTCAGCGAAGACGAGGATGATCTTCCTGCTCGTCGCAGACTTGACTCGAGCCCGATGTTGCCGCCTGGCGCTATCAAGCGCCATCACAAGCGCTTGGATGATATCCTTCCTAGCGCGGACAGCAGTGATCACAGCTCGGATGGCATTGACGATGGCATCAAGAGTGAAGGCGAGGAGGACATCCTGTATAAAGAATTTGCTCCCAAGGCAAAGAAGCCCAAGAGCCGCCCAACATCCGCCAAGATTCGCGCCCCCAAGCCATTGGCCAAGCAGAACAAGAGCAAGAGCAACCTTGCTACGTTGCGTAAGCCATCCGACAAGTCCACGGCGCCGGTACCGCCTCTCAGCCCAAGCTCCTCCCGCAAAGTGTCTGGCGGCTCTGTCAACTTCCAGCACCAGCTTGGAGCCGATGAGGAGGACCTCTCCACTAAGCCTCGCTGCCAACGCTGTCGCAAGAGTAAGAAGGGCTGCGATCGCCAGCGCCCGTGTGGACGTTGCAAGGATGCTGGTATTGGCATCGAAGGCTGTGTCAGTGAGGACGAAGGTAACGGCCGCAAGGGTCGCTATGGTCGTC